TGGGAATCTCGAATTTTTTCTGTACTATCGCACGCGGAAGATAAATCTTTATTTGTGTTAAAAAGAAAAAAAATGTTATTCAGATTTTGCAATGTAAACGAGATTCCGTGAAAGTGCTCAGAGACAGTTAAAGGGAAATGAAATGGTTTCAACCGAGAGAACTTTGCCTACGTCAGTTTAACTACAGAAATCCTAATCTACGTTTTAACGCATCTGTGTATATTTTGTGTGCGAGTTGCCACGTAATTTTATGATACGTGTCTGATATCGAGTCACATTGGGCGTAATTTTCAAACGTAAGTTGTATAACAGCTTAAATAAAATACACACGTAAAAATATTTCGTACGTAAATTCTGCACTGTAAATTTTAATTTCTCCCCCTTGATTTTAATAATTACTAGCTTTTTAAAATTGTTACATTTGCAAGACGTACAGCTTTTTAAAAAAATTACGACCGAATGTAATTGAGAGTATAGTTGCTAAACTGAACATCTCCATTTCCACGAATTCTAAACATAATCGTCAGTCCCTATTTACAATGTGTTCTATTACTATTCTGTTCGCGAATTGACAGTGTTCAATTACTCTGTTTAAGCTAATGGAAGGGAGCATCGTGATATTGACCAATTCTCGCTGAAACAGATGAACTTGCCAATCCGATATTAATACACACGTTTCATCAAGCAACTTGATTTCAATCGACTCGCCGTATTTATTTATCGGTACGTTTATTTGAAATATGATTGCGTGGTATTTAAATACCGCAACGTTTAAATGATATTCGACTCGTGAGGAGCGAGAGGCAAAAGGATATTTAAAAACTGAACAGAATCTACAGATATGTACAATATCTTCAAGACTGATAAATTTTGCAACCGACACTAAATTCGAATCATAGGTAATATTTTACATTTGCTAATACTCTTTTTATTATTGCGCTGGTAACACGAGTAACAACTGCATCGTGTAAGCTGTTAAATTTTACGTGAAGAAATCAATTTTGCAATTATTCTGTTCCACTTTCTAGTGTTTTAGTAATAATTGAAACAAGAGAATTCCGTGCAATTTTTTTCTTATTACTCTCGCCAGTCGGAATTTTCCGGTATAAATTTTTTAACGCAGAAAAAAAAAAGAAAACGCAGGTATAAATGGTCGAACGTGTTCCAGTTAATTCGAATTTTCATCTAGACGCGCGGAAATTAATGCCAAGAATGAATTTTTCCATTGATGTAGGAACGAAGCAACACGACATTACGATTTAAGCTCGTAACCCGGTTTTTCAATATTCGATATATTTACGAAGGGACGAACGGAATTCAGATAGCGATCGATATAAAAGTCGTCGCCATCGACGTTCCACAGAATCCACGGAGTAAGTACGATTTTTCTCCGACTACGTGAAAACTGCGGCCAGGCCAAGATTCGTTTACTTTAAGAACATCCCGCGGTATTATCGTAAAATATGAAATTCATATCCGTACCGGCGCAAAGTCTACCTCGTTCAACCGCGAAAAATTTCTTCCCTTAGTTCCAAGTACTGCTAATAAAGAACGCGTTCCGTGGATATTATCGTTCCGTCAACGGTAACGTTTCTCATTAAAAATTTCAAGCATCGTATCTTACGTGTTATCCCCACCAATGAGACGAAGTTAATCCGCGATATTTGTGTGATTTCATATTTCCCGTGAATGTATAGGAATATCCAGACGGATATATCCTTTATACCAAATGAAAATTGACGATTTTGTAAATTTTGTGAAATCAGGTTGCAGATGTTTTTTTCTTTACGAGATATTTACGAGACGATAATCGAAACGGAATGTAATAATACAATTTTATTTGGAATATTTTGTACATTTTAGCACCTTCGTCAGGTAATTGTTGGTTCGTTTTTATGAAAGAAACGAAGAACACAATGTCTCAATTTAAAACAATTTCTTGAAGGAAAATAACACTGAAAGATCGAAATATTTTCTCAAGCTGAAAATTCTCCCTTTTGGAATATTAGGTAATACTAAAATATTTTCCTAATTTCGACGTAAACAGGTAAAGGGTTATATTGTTAATAAATTGATCACGTATAATTTTACTGCGAATTCGATTGTGGCTCGAATATCATTGCACGCAAGCACAATCAAAGATGACCAATATCGTCTAATCTAGCCTTAACTAACCTAAAACTTCATCCTAGTCTAATATGCTTAACATGTCCGATTAGAACGTAATCTACCTAAACCTCTCTACCATTAATACAGTTAAGCGTATTATCACAAGTAAGTTTTCAACAGACGTTGTTGTTGTTGCATTGATTCTATGTTTTACGTACACTCCGATCAGAGTCTCGAAATGCCTTGGATCAGATTTATATGAAAATTTATTTCGTTGGAATATTTATTAAAAGTATGTGTATCTTTATAGTAGAGTCGCAGTCGCAGAATTTATAAGGTCGTACCACTTGCAAGCCAGTAGCACCACTGCACGCTTTCCGCTGTCTCGTAAGTTATAATTTTGCAATTTGCGCTAATACATGGGAGAGTACAAGTGATCATACCGTTGCAAAATGGAAGGAACGTAATCCAGTTAAACATAGCGTGGAACATGTGTGAGGAACATTGTCTTGGCAAATTCCAATTTAAATGATTTATCAAAGAACTTCGATGAAAGAATTTGCAACTACCATATTTATCTTTTATCTTTCACCAGGCGTGTCAATCTGACATTAAACATGCGAAACGTGTCACAATTTACCCAAAAAAAATCTACATAAAAAAAAAAAATTTGTAAATTTATTCATCCGCTCTTACTGATTTTTCACCATCAATCTAACACTCTAATAATAGATAAATATGAGACACGTGCGAGAATTGTTTTACCAAAAAAAAATCTTTTTTTTTTTGCTGTTATTGATTTCTTTATCACAAAATCTAACGCCGAATGATGAGCAAATTGCCGAAAAAGCTTGGGAAAAATCGGGAGGCCGAAGCTTTCGCCAGAATATATTTTTTTGATTTCGAGCATCACGAACAACAGTTTGGCCGTTCTTGTTTCTTTCGAAATTGCGCGCACGTACGCGGCAGGCTGGGCGTGTCCGCGAAATACACGCGGATTTACACCGGATCGTTTCGTTTCGTAACGCAACCGAATTTCCCGTGCACATCGCGACATTATCGCATGGCCGGCGGGAGCGGTGGATGGGAGGTTTGCGCGCTGCAGCTAATTTGTGTCGCCGAAAGTGTTTTATACGGACGAATTCGTCCATGGTCCGCGGAATATTGCTCGATACAAACGACCCATGAATCCCGCGGATTTGAATGAGGCCACGGTTCGCGGGGATTTCGACAGGCATCGCGCTATCATTCGATCATCAATCTTGTTACTCGCTTATCGCTGGCCGATTTCAAAATTGCTGCCGCGCTTTACGTTGCCGCTTATGTACATACGTTGATCAACAACTGTTTAATCTACACGCGCCAGTGATACTGACTTTGTTTCTTAAATGCACGATGGAAACGTGTTTCACGATTTCTTCATTTCGATATCACTTGTCGTTGAAAATGAAAATTTACGTACTCCATTAGTACTGAAAAGAAGTTCTGTCGTTCCTTCTCAAATTGACACTTGAACTAAAGAGACACATTAACTTGAGAAGAATTTTAATCTCCAAATATTATTTTTCAATATTGAAAATCTATCGAAAGCAAATATAAAGTATAATGTTTAATTATTTTCTTCATCGTTGCCTGTACCTGTATGTATGTAGATTCAAATGTA